TTTATTTTGAAATGATTTCAGTCTCTCAGTAAAGTTACAAAAATAGTAGAGTTCCTGTATACCCCTTACTCAGGCTCCCTAAAGATGACATTTCACATAACATTGTAACAATCATCAAAACAAGGAATGAATGTTGATATAATCCTATTAACTAAGTCAAACACCTTATTCAAATTTCACCACTGTTTCCTGTAGGGGACGCCAAAAGCCAGATGACATATGAGCAAGATGATCTGCAGCTGAGGGGTGGACCCTCAGGCCATTCGGCCACAGGCGCTCCTGACTGAGAAAGAGCCCTTGCCTTCAGCATGCAGTCATTGTCAAACACTCCCTTCACCTGTGTTGTTCTGGCTCAAAAAAAGGCTGGTGTGGAGGTTGCTCGATCCCATATTCCGGTTAGTTGTTACATGGCCTTGGTCTTCTGTAATTTTTGTCAGTTCCTCAATCCTTGTTGTCTTTCAGAATCTTGTCCTTCAGAATCAAAAACCTAAGTTCCATACTTTATTTTGACTTATTTAGTTTGAACCTAATGCTCTTGTTCTGCCACAGGACCCCATGAAGAACACCATGCTACACTGAATCATCACGAGGCTATTGTAGACTGTGACAGTTTCTCAGACTTTCTTGTTCTTGATGACCTTGATGGTTTTGAGCAGCACTAGAGTATTTTGTAGTGTATCCCTTAGTTTGTGATTGTCTGATATTTTTTTCTCATATTAGGGTGGGGCTGTGGGTCTGGGGGAGGAAGGTCACAAAGATAGAGTGTGATTCTCATTGTCATACCAAGGGCATGTGCTATTAATGACTCATTACTAATGTCGGATGGGAGCCTCCAACACATGGCAGAGGTGGTGTTTGTCAGGTTTCTCTGCTGTTATTTTTTTCTCCCTGTTCATACTGTGTGCTTTGATCAGCTCACACTTGAAGGATGGGTATTTATATTCTATCTCCCTGAGAGCAGAGTATCTATGGAATTTTTTTTGGAATTCTTCTGTATGAGATTATCCACCATTTTAAATTTATTCATTTATTTGTATCAGTACAGACTCACAGATATATATTTTATAATTTGAGTTATAATCCAATTCCAAATTATTTATTTTACTGTTCAAATTATTCCAGTATAGCCACTGGGAGCTCTTTTAGTTGGCTCCTCTGTCACTCTGATACACTATCATTGTTTTTTTCAAACATTACTTCACTTCCTGGCACTAGAAGATGTTCCAGACTCCTCTTGTGTATTTCTAGTCCTAGATAAATCAGTCTTTTCTCCTAGGAGTACTGACTCACTGATTCCTTTCATTAGAGAATGGTATTAGAAACCAGGAACTGGGTGTGCTTATTGTTCCTGGTTGACATTGGCTCTAGGTCCTTCAGAGGTCAGACCTTGGAGATATGTGTGTATCCTAACCTATGAGTACACACAGGTTAGTACTTCTGTATTTACCCATCTGTATCTATCTTAAGCTAAACATGAATTTATACTGATGTCTCCAACCCAACCCATGATTTAGTGACCACATGCATAATCCTCTAACTTTACAGATGAGAAAATTTACAACTAGAAAAATGAAGAGACTTGCCCTAAGTCAAACAGTTGGCAGTCTATTTATGCCAAATCAATAGTTATGCAGCAATGATGTATTCATACTAGGTGCTTAATCAAAGCATGTTTAATTAAGATGCTAATTGAGATAATAATTCTTCCAATAATGTAAGTATAATTTTAGAAAACATCATCTTCAATGAGTTTTAAGTCATAACTGTCACTATAGATCACACCTATTTGGAACCACAGTGGTTTCCTTAGAGATTTCAAGAGTGTAAGCTTCTCTAGAGCAGGGATTGCTTAGCATAGGCTCCATCAAAGTTTGTCAACCTCAACGGACTGTACATATCATTTCAAGAAATAGTGGGCAAATATTTATTCTCAGCCTCATTTATATGATTGATCATCTGGTCTGTCTACTCTCAGAGAAAAGTATTGAGGATCACATAATATGATTTATATGCAAATCCTTTGGATTCTGGAAGGCATAGTTATGATATTATTGAGGGGAAATTCTATAGCTTTGAAACAAGTCTTTCTTCCTTGGGTGTGCAGGCAGTCTGTGTGACCTTTGCTACCACTTTTCCACATATATAAAAACTATATAAAATTAAGAATAAAGTAAAATCATTGGTATTTGTTTCTAAAATAGTTTACCCAATGGTTGTCTCTTTTGTGTATAAACTTTTGTCTTTCCTCTTATGAAATCAATTTTGTTAACAATATTTTTTATACAGTATCATTTTTATACAGTAAAACCCTACTTAGTGTACAGTTTGGTGATTTTTTGCTAATACCAGTGCAATCTAGACATAGAACTGTTCCATACCTCCCCTTGCGAAACTCCTTCATGTGTCCCTTTGCTGTTAATCAGTCCCCTAACCCCCAGCTTTGGGCAAGTGCTGATCCTATAGTCCTGCATTTCCCAGAATGGCACACAAAGGGGCCTGGCTTATTTTCCTTCCCATAATGCATTTGAGATTCATTCATAATGTTGTGTGTATCAAGAGTTAGCCTTTATTTTTTTCTGAGTAGTATCCCATGTATGACTATATCACATTTTAATTATTCATTCACCAGATAAAGGACATCTGTGCTTTCTCTACTTAGGGGTGAATAAAAATAAATCCAAATATATTTTGTACACATAAACATTTGTGTACACGTTTTTATGTGGAACTTGCTTTTATTTCACTAGATACCTAGGAGTTGGATAACTAGGCTGCATGGTAACTATACGCGGTAATAAAAAGATCAAATTGTTATTTGAAATGGAAACCATTAAGATCAGATGCTATGATCTTAAATGGGTGATAGACCTGGTGGGTAGAGATGGGAATATAAGCCTCCAGATGCCTAATCTAACCTGTCATCCAGTTCTGTAAAATCAATACACTTTTCCCTCATTCTCACACCCTCACCTCTCAGAGAAGTGAGACACCTTTAGCAGTATAAATAAAAGCTTAGATGAGAGGCCTCCCATGCTTTCTGCTATTTTCCTGTTTACCAGGCAGAATGGCTGATCTGAGGAGGTGAGTGGCAATGACAGCCTAGGTACAGTGACATCAGGAGAACCCTCACCAGTTATTGTGCCTATTACTTTCTTTTTCTTCCCTCTTGAAAGAAAAGTTGAGCCTTGGTGTGACAGCAACAAAACTAAAGGGAGCAATTATCCTGGTATTGGTTAAGAGGACTACTCAATTCTAAATCTAAAAAAAAGGGACTTGTGACTAAGGAGAAGACTTAATTCTTCCTACAGCATCAAATTACTTTTGTTCTATATTTAAAACATGCAATATTTAAAGCTCACATTAATTATTGTCTTACAAATGCTATTAGAGCAGAACAGTATGGATAATCTCCCAAAGTAGATAATCCACAAGTCATTTCCATTTGGCTTTATAAAAACAGGTGCTCTCTTTAATTTTAAGTTTTCCATTGACTAGTATTCAGTTTGCTTCTCCTAAACTGACTCAACTATTGCAAAAAAATACATACCAAGGACATATTATTTGGCATGAAGAAACCATCCTCAGATTAGAAAACTGATTAGTGCACAAATCAAAGTTTAATGTATTATTCTGTTAAGGCCCTTGCTTTGGAGTCCCATGGCAAGGATGAAAGGATTGAGGGGTGCAAGAGAAAGGTAAGGATAACCAAAAAGGAGGTACTCAGGCAGTCAAGATTCTGGAGGGGTGAGAAAGAGGTTGCAATAAAATTGCATCTTTTTTCCCTGTAAACTATCTTCGGTTAAGAGCCAGAGAACAAGTGTGTAAAGGGTGGAGCAAATAGCGGGGAAACAGTGAATTTGTTGGACTCAAGTGGATTTTCAACTTCATAATATAAAAACAAACTTCTCAACAAACAGAGCTGCTCAGTCAGAAAGGGTGGGCTGTGAGACCTGGATTCGCCAACACTGGCTGTGTCTAAGGCTAAGTGCTGTATCTTGTTAGAAACGTAGCGTAACCAGTATTCATGTACCCTTCGTTCTGCAAAGGTTTGTTAAAAGTTTACTCTGTATAAGGTACCTGCAGAATATGAAAAAGAATCAATCTGGACCTGCTGCCTGCCAGCTGTCAAAGCAGTGCTTCTCACACTTAATGTGATCTTAAAACGCAGATTCTGATTCTGAACCTCAGCGCCGGGCCTCAGATTCTCCATTTCTAACAAGCTTCCAAGTTACGCCACTGCTGCTGGTCTGTGTACCACACGTTGCGTGACCAAGGTTTCTAGTGAGGAATAAGACATGTGCATATAATTATAGTACAAAGTAAGAATTTGTAAATACCTTAGAAACTCCATTAATTATTATAAAAAACCAAACTGTATCCCTCCTAACTCTAGGACTGTCTTTGCCCTTTTCATACTTTTAGTGTTCCTTCTGATGTTTCTGTTGTCGCCGGGTGTCTTGAATTTTATTTCTTGGAGTGTTCCTCATTGCATATGCTATTTCTTAGCCTAGAAGAACACTCGCCTCCTGAGACTGCCATTTTACTAATTTGCCAAGGTTGATCTAATAGCTCCATCTCGAATTCTTCCCTGGGACCCCAGTCAGGCTGCCAGCTCCGATCCTTGTAGCTCCCGGTCGCGGTCGCATAGAGTTTTAACCTTCAACAATTACCCCCGTTTCTTCCGGCCTTGAGTTGGAAGTCGGTTTCCTCATTGCCCACAGGAACCCAGCTCACCTACCCGAGGACGGCCCAGAACGCGTCGTGTCGCACCCGAGGCCGCCAGGGGCCAGGAAGAAAGCACCGCGGCCCAGGAGGCTGCGGCCGAGGGTCTCCCCGCCGGCGCTCCCCGGACCCCCGCCCGCCGGCGCTCCCCGGGCGCCCCCGCCTGGCGCCGGCGGC